GCGTTTGCACGGGCATTTGCACGGGCGTGTGCACGACATTTGCACAGCAGCTGCACAGCGTTTGCACGGGCATTTGCACGGGCGTTTGCAGGGTGTTCGCACGGCGTTTGCGCAGCCTTTGTGCAACGTTTGCAAGGCATTTGCACGGCGTTTGCTCGAGCATTTGCACAGTGTTTGCACGGCATTTGCATGGCGAGTGCACGGGCATTTGCACGGGCGTGTGCATTTGCATGGCATTTGCACAGTGTTTGCACAGGTATTTGCATGGCGTTTGCACGGCGCTTGCACGGCGCTTGCACGTGTTTTTGCAGCCTTTGCGTGGCAATTGCATGCATTTGCACGGGCATTTGCACACATTTGCGTGGCATTTGCGCAGCGTTTGCAAGCATTTGCACGGGCGTTTGCACAGGCATTTGCACAGTGTTTGCACGGGCATTTGCACAGCGTTTGCACGAGTGTTTGCATGGGCATTTGCACGAGCGTTTGCACGGGCATTTGCACAGTGTTTGCACGGGCATTTGCACAGCGTTTGCACGGGCGTTTGCATCCCAGCTCCATGTCTCCCATCCCAGCTCCATGTCTCCCATCCCAGCTCCATGTCTCCCATCCCAGCTCCATGTCTCCCATCCCAGCTCCATGTCTCCCATCCCAGCTCCATGTCTCCCATCCCAGCTCCATGTCTCCCATCCCAGCTCCATGTCTCCCATCCCAGCTCCATGTCTCCCATCCCAGCTCCATGTCTCCCATCCCAGCTCCATGTCTCCCATCCCAGCTCCATGTCTCCCATCCCAGCTCCATGTCTCCCATCCCAGCTCCATGTCTCCCATCCCAGCTCCATGTCTCCCATCCCAGCTCCATGTCTCCCATCCCAGCTCCATGTCTCCCATCCCAGCTCCATGTCTCCCATCCCAGCTCCATGTCTCCCATCCCAGCTCCATGTCTCCCATCCCAGCTCCATGTCTCCCATCCCAGCTCCATGTCTCCCATCCCAGCTCCATGTCTCCCATCCCAGCTCCATGTCTCCCATCCCAGCTCCATGTCTCCCATCCCAGCTCCATGTCTCCCATCCCAGCTCCATGTCTCCCATCCCAGCTCCATGTCTCCCATCCCAGCTCCATGTCTCCCATCCCAGCTCCATGTCTCCCATCCCAGCTCCATGTCTCCCATCCCAGCTCCATGTCTCCCATCCCAGCTCCATGTCTCCCATCCCAGCTCCATGTCTCCCATCCCAGCTCCATGTCTCCCATCCCAGCTCCATGTCTCCCATCCCAGCTCCATGTCTCCCATCCCAGCTCCATGTCTCCCATCCCAGCTCCATGTCTCCCATCCCAGCTCCATGTCTCCCATCCCAGCTCCATGTCTCCCATCCCAGCTCCATGTCTCCCATCCCAGCTCCATGTCTCCCATCCCAGCTCCATGTCTCCCATCCCAGCTCCATGTCTCCCATCCCAGCTCCATGTCTCCCATCCCAGCTCCATGTCTCCCATCCCAGCTCCATGTCTCCCATCCCAGCTCCATGTCTCCCATCCCAGCTCCATGTCTCCCATCCCAGCTCCATGTCTCCCATCCCAGCTCCATGTCTCCCATCCCAGCTCCATGTCTCCCATCCCAGCTCCATGTCTCCCATCCCAGCTCCATGTCTCCCATCCCAGCTCCATGTCTCCCATCCCAGCTCCATGTCTCCCATCCCAGCTCCATGTCTCCCATCCCAGCTCCATGTCTCCCATCCCAGCTCCATGTCTCCCATCCCAGCTCCATGTCTCCCATCCCAGCTCCATGTCTCCCATCCCAGCTCCATGTCTCCCATCCCAGCTCCATGTCTCCCATCCCAGCTCCATGTCTCCCATCCCAGCTCCATGTCTCCCATCCCAGCTCCATGTCTCCCATCCCAGCTCCATGTCTCCCATCCCAGCTCCATGTCTCCCATCCCAGCTCCATGTCTCCCATCCCAGCTCCATGTCTCCCATCCCAGCTCCATGTCTCCCATCCCAGCTCCATGTCTCCCATCCCAGCTCCATGTCTCCCATCCCAGCTCCATGTCTCCCATCCCAGCTCCATGTCTCCCATCCCAGCTCCATGTCTCCCATCCCAGCTCCATGTCTCCCATCCCAGCTCCATGTCTCCCATCCCAGCTCCATGTCTCCCATCCCAGCTCCATGTCTCCCATCCCAGCTCCATGTCTCCCATCCCAGCTCCATGTCTCCCATCCCAGCTCCATGTCTCCCATCCCAGCTCCATGTCTCCCATCCCAGCTCCATGTCTCCCATCCCAGCTCCATGTCTCCCATCCCAGCTCCATGTCTCCCATCCCAGCTCCATGTCTCCCATCCCAGCTCCATGTCTCCCATCCCAGCTCCATGTCTCCCATCCCAGCTCCATGTCTCCCATCCCAGCTCCATGTCTCCCATCCCAGCTCCATGTCTCCCATCCCAGCTCCATGTCTCCCATCCCAGCTCCATGTCTCCCATCCCAGCTCCATGTCTCCCATCCCAGCTCCATGTCTCCCATCCCAGCTCCATGTCTCCCATCCCAGCTCCATGTCTCCCATCCCAGCTCCATGTCTCCCATCCCAGCTCCATGTCTCCCATCCCAGCTCCATGTCTCCCATCCCAGCTCCATGTCTCCCATCCCAGCTCCATGTCTCCCATCCCAGCTCCATGTCTCCCATCCCAGCTCCATGTCTCCCATCCCAGCTCCATGTCTCCCATCCCAGCTCCATGTCTCCCATCCCAGCTCCATGTCTCCCATCCCAGCTCCATGTCTCCCATCCCAGCTCCATGTCTCCCATCCCAGCTCCATGTCTCCCATCCCAGCTCCATGTCTCCCATCCCAGCTCCATGTCTCCCATCCCAGCTCCATGTCTCCCATCCCAGCTCCATGTCTCCCATCCCAGCTCCATGTCTCCCATCCCAGCTCCATGTCTCCCATCCCAGCTCCATGTCTCCCATCCCAGCTCCATGTCTCCCATCCCAGCTCCATGTCTCCCATCCCAGCTCCATGTCTCCCATCCCAGCTCCATGTCTCCCATCCCAGCTCCATGTCTCCCATCCCAGCTCCATGTCTCCCATCCCAGCTCCATATCTCCCATCCCAGCTCCATATCTCCCATCCCAGCTCCATATCTCCCATCCCAGCTCCATATCTCCCATCCCAGCTCCATATCTCCCATCCCAGCTCCATATCTCCCATCCCAGCTCCATATCTCCCATCCCAGCTCCATATCTCCCATCCCAGCTCCATATCTCCCATCCCAGCTCCATATCTCCCATCCCAGCTCCATATCTCCCATCCCAGCTCCATATCTCCCATCCCAGCTCCATATCTCCCATCCCAGCTCCATATCTCCCATCCCAGCTCCATGAGCCCCATTCCAGCTCCATATCTCCCATCCCAGCTCCATGAGCCCCATTCCAGCTCCATATCTCCCATCCCAGCTCCATGAGCCCCATTCCAGCTCCATATCTCCCATCCCAGCTCCATGAGCCCCATTCCAGCTCCATATCTCCCATCCCAGCTCCATGAGCCCCATTCCAGCTCCATATCTCCCATCCCAGCTCCATGAGCCCCATTCCAGCTCCATATCTCCCATCCCAGCTCCATGAGCCCCATTCCAGCTCCATATCTCCCATCCCAGCTCCATGAGCCCCATTCCAGCTCCATATCTCCCATCCCAGCTCCATGAGCCCCATTCCAGCTCCATATCTCCCATCCCAGCTCCATGAGCCCCATTCCAGCTCCATATCTCCCATCCCAGCTCCATGAGCCCCATTCCAGCTCCATATCTCCCATCCCAGCTCCATGAGCCCCATTCCAGCTCCATATCTCCCATCCCAGCTCCATGAGCCCCATTCCAGCTCCATATCTCCCATCCCAGCTCCATGAGCCCCATTCCAGCTCCATATCTCCCATCCCAGCTCCATGAGCCCCATTCCAGCTCCATATCTCCCATCCCAGCTCCATGAGCCCCATTCCAGCTCCATATCTCCCATCCCAGCTCCATGAGCCCCATTCCAGCTCCATATCTCCCATCCCAGCTCCATGAGCCCCATTCCAGCTCCATATCTCCCATCCCAGCTCCATGAGCCCCATTCCAGCTCCATATCTCCCATCCCAGCTCCATGAGCCCCATTCCAGCTCCATATCTCCCTTCCTACCTCCATGACCCCCATTCCACCTCCATGTCCCCATCCCAGCTCCGTGAGCCCATCCCAGCTCCATGACTTCATCCCAGCTCCAGATCTCCCATCACAGCTCCATGTCACCCATCCCAGCTCCATATCTCCCATCCCACCTCCATATCTCACATCCCAGCTCCGTGTCCCCCATCCCACCTCCATGTCTCCCATCCCACCTCCATATCTCCCATCCCAGCTCCATATCTCCCATCCCACCTCCATGACCTCATCCCAGCTCCATATCTCCCATCCCACCTCCATGACCTCATCCCAGCTCCATATCTCCCATCCCACCTCCATGACCTCATCCCAGCTCCATATCTCCCATCCCACCTCCATGACCTCATCCCAGCTCCATATCTCCCATCCCACCTCCATGACCTCATCCCAGCTCCATATCTCCCATCCCACCTCCATGACCTCATCCCAGCTCCATATCTCCCATCCCACCTCCATGACCTCATCCCAGCTCCATATCTCCCATCCCACCTCCATGAGCCCCATTCCAGCTCCATATCTCCCTTCCTACCTCCATGACCCCCATTCCACCTCCATGTCCCCATCCCAGCTCCGTGAGCCCATCCCAGCTCCATGACTTCATCCCAGCTCCAGATCTCCCATCACAGCTCCATGTCACCCATCCCAGCTCCATATCTCCCATCCCACCTCCATATCTCCCATCCCAGCTCCATGTCTCCCATCCCAGCTCTGTGACCTCATTCCAGCTCCATATCTCCCATCCCAGCTCCATGAGCCCCATTCCAGCTCCATATCTCCCATCCCAGCTCCATGAGCCCCATTCCAGCTCCATATCTCCCATCCCAGCTCCATGAGCCCCATTCCAGCTCCATATCTCCCATCCCAGCTCCATGAGCCCCATTCCAGCTCCATATCTCCCATCCCAGCTCCATGAGCCCCATTCCAGCTCCATATCTCCCATCCCAGCTCCATGAGCCCCATTCCAGCTCCATATCTCCCATCCCAGCTCCATGAGCCCCATTCCAGCTCCATATCTCCCATCCCAGCTCCATGAGCCCCATTCCAGCTCCATATCTCCCATCCCAGCTCCATGAGCCCCATTCCAGCTCCATATCTCCCATCCCAGCTCCATGAGCCCCATTCCAGCTCCATATCTCCCATCCCAGCTCCATGAGCCCCATTCCAGCTCCATATCTCCCATCCCAGCTTCATGAGCCCCACCCCAGCTCCATATCTCCCATCCCAGCTCCATATCTCCCATCCCACCTCCATATCTCCCATCCCAGCTCTGTGAGTCCCATCCCAGCTCCATGTCCCCCATCCCACCTCCACGTCCCCATGCCACCTCCGCGTCCCCATCCCAGCTCCACGTCCCCATCCCACCTCCATGTCCCCATTCCACTTCCACGTCCCCATCCCAGCTCTGCGTCCCCATCCCACCTCCCTGTCCCTGTCCCGGCTGCCCGTGACCATCCCTCTCTGCGGTCCCCCCTGGCCAGGGAGCATTTTGGGGGGGACCAAAATGGCCGGGCCATCCCCATCCCCTGCTGTCCCTGTGGCCGCCCCGGATGCCTGGGCCCCTCCATGGGGGGGCGACGGGATCCCCAGTGAGGGGGGGGGGGGGCCTCGTTCCCCCCCCAAGAGTGTCAATAAATCGTGGTTCAAGTTGCTGGTGGCTCCTGGGTCCCTTGCAGGGGGCACTGGGAGGGACTGGGAGCACTGGGAACACTGAGGGGGGGGATTTGGGGACACCCAGGAGGGTTTGGGGACACCCAGGGTGGGTTTTGGGACACCCAGGAGGGTTTGGGGACACTCTGGGTGGGTTTGGGGATGGTCAGGCTGGATTTGGAGACAGCTAGGCTGGATTTGGGGTCACCCAGGGGGATTTGGGGAAGCCCAGGACAGATTTGGGGACACCCAGGACAGATTTGGGGATGGCCAGGTGGATCCGGGGACACCCGGGGTGGATTTGGGGACACTCTGGATGGATTTGGGGACACCCAGAGGGGCTTGGGGACACCTGCATGGGTTTGGGGACACCCAGGCTGGATTTGGGAACACCCAGAGGGTTTGGGGACACTCTGGGTTGATTTGGGGACACCTGGGGGGCTTTGGGGTCACCCAGGGCAGATTTCGGGTCACCCAGGCTGGATTTGGGGACACCCAGGGCAGGTTTGGGAACAGCCAGGCTGGATTTGGGGTTGTCCAGGGGGATTTGGGGATACCCAGAGGGGTTTGGGGACACCCACGTGGATTTGGGGACACCCAGGGTGGATTTGGGGACACTCTGGGTGGATTTGGGAACACCTAGGTGTGTTTGGGGTCACCTAGAGGGGTTTGGGGAGACTCTGGGTGGATCTGGGGACACCCAGGGTGGATTTGGGGTCACCCAGGGCGGATTTGGTGTCACCCAGGGTGGATCTGGGGACACCCAGGGTGGATCTGGGGACACCTAGGTGGCTTTGGGGATACCTGGGGGGGTTTGTGGACACCCACGTGGATTTGGGGACACCCAGGGTGGATTTGGGGACACCTAGGTGTGTTTGGGGTCACCTAGGGGGGTTTGGGGAGACTCTGGGTGGATCTGGGGACACCCAGGGTGGATTTGGGGTCACCCAGGGCGGATTTGGTGTCACCCAGGGTGGATCTGGGGACACCCAGGGTGGATCTGGGGACACCTAGGTGGCTTTGGGGATACCTGGGGGGGTTTGTGGACACCCACGTGGATTTGGGGACACCCAGGGTGGATTTGGGGACACCTAGGTGTGTTTGGGGTCACCTAGGGGGGTTTGGGGAGACTCTGGGTGGATCTGGGGACACCCAGGGTGGATCTGGGGACACCTAGGTGGCTTTGGGGATACCTGGGGGGGTTTGTGGACACCCACGTGGATTTGGGGACACCCAGGGTGGATTTGGGGACAC